AATCATCACGATTATTATTTCTTCACAATTATTTGTTTTTATCCATTTGTTTATTTTTGAGAATGGGTCTGGTTATTTTTTCCTAATTGAGAATCATGCTTTGGATGAAGCTGCTTTGCTGACAGTATACTACTGATATTCAACTGTCTTTCTCATAACTTTATTTTATAGAAGTATATTTCAATATATTTTTACATTTTAAAGCTTCTAAACTGGGGTCAAAGTTAATCACCTCTGATTATAATGAAGATCTTTAACCCTATATTACAAATCAGATGACAAATTTAAGTTTACAATCTTTTTATAATAGAACCCTTAGTGTATAAGAAATACAACTTTAATGTTCATATATGTTCATATAGTAAGTTGCTTAACTATGAAAAGGTAGTTTCACGGTGCTACATTTGGAATTTCTTCTTGTTCATAACATTAACATTAAAAAAATCACGTGGGAGGAGTTAACTGCAAAGTTGGATCACACTTCTGGTTCTGGCAAGTGGCATATAAAGAAAGGCATGTTAGAAGTATACTATAAAACCCTCTCCAACCAATCCACCATTTCACTGATAAATGATGACACGGAAAGAATATTTGGTTAACCTGGGGTAACAGAGATAAAATTCAGACAGAAGAACTGAAACATGTATAGAAAATTATTGTATTAATTCTATTAGAAATGCACTATATTAAAGCAAACATTAAATATCATCATTAAAAGATTTTTAGAGATACATGCTAATCACCACTGACATGCCTACCTTTGGTGGAAAATATGACAGAATGATACATATTTTTTAAGTAATCATAGAGTATTTCCAAAATCATACCCCATAAAGGAAGTATCAACAAATATTATATCAATCAATCAATAAAATTATATCAATCAATATCATATACACCATGATCTGTGGCCCGTATGTAACCAAATTAGAAATCAGTAATAAGACAGTCTAAACCCTTGTGCTTTTAGAAATTCAAAAACAGACTTCGAAAAAATTCATGGATCAAAGAAATGATCATAATGAATATTTCATTTTACTTCCATAAATTTTGGCATTTTATAACTATTCTTTCTCATTGCTATAGATTAATAGCAAACTGCTACATGGTAGAGTTAAAACCTTGAGTACTCTTAAGAGAAACTATACCTTGCAGGACAAAATAAAGGCTGTTAGGTGTGTGTTGGTCTTCAAAGGGAGACATGTGGCTTGGAATACACTGGCTCTGGCCTTTTCTTAACCTATGAAAAAATCTGTACACTAACCTAAAATACAAGTTCTTCTGCTTCCTGCAAGCATAACTTAATTTTGGGTTAGCTAAAGTATGTTTAACTTTCCCCCCAGGACTTAATCTTTATATATAGATGGTAAAATTGCTACTTAATAAAAGAAAATAAGAGCAGGCATTAGGTTATTATGCCTCAAATTGTAACCTACATTTTCTGAGAAAGTCTGCTTTTTAAAGTAGCTGAACATGCCTTTCTTTTAACATATTTTCTAACATACTTAACACTTCACTTTTCAATTAGACAGTACAGTTTTTCCTATAAAACCAACATGACATCAGATGATATTTCATATCTTTAGAAAAATTACTTATCTTTGAGGTAGAATTGTTTATTATAAAGCATAAGAAACACCTTTTGTAATAAACTGAAATTGTCATAATGTTTATACTCTAAAGTGAGTTTAATATAGCTCAGATTTTTACACAGCTAACAATTGTTTTAAAAAATCCCTGCAGGTCTTAGCCAGGCCTCGTTTCTCTGGAAAAACAGAAAGAACAAATGTTTTTGCCCATGCCGACTTTATAATTCATTAAGTGATCCTGGATTGGGGTAGAACCTTTTTTCTCCTCTTCTTCCTCAAAAATGTGAATCTTTTCATAGCTAATCAGCCCATAAAAGAGAACAAGCAGAATGACAC